CTTGTGGAGGGGCAGGTAGGATAACCTGCTAACGGGACAGTTAGTTCATCGCTGGATCTCTTGGCTTAATTTCAAGTGTATCCTCAAGCTGTCCAGCAATGCAACATTGGAGTCGCTGGCTTCCGTTCGGATAAATTGCCACCGAGCCTTGTCGCTACAACAGAGTGAACGTATTTCGAACAGGTGGAGCGCGTGCCCATGCGTGTTGTGAGTCATTTGGTGATAGCAAGGTGTAACGGATACGGGCTGTGTCACGCAGGAAGTGAGCCGTGGTGTGGATGAGACGCTGTCCTGGAGGAGCAATAGTTTAAACTTCGGTCTTCGGTCTGTGTCACAAAGATACGTTTAAGCCTTCCGTTTCCCTGGGAGCAGTTGCAATGCGAGTGCCACTGGTGTTACGCACTGTTTTGTTGACAAAGCTGGCGACTATTGTATCGATGTTAGCATATGGAAGTGGACGCTCATTTAAAGTAAAAAATATGATACTGGCATGTTTGGTAACACCGGGTGACATCCACTGGCCTGTTGCCCCCAGATCCTGAGATACATTGAAAGCAAAGCTTCGGAGCCTGGATCGGTAGTCGTTGTCCCATATATTAGTAGTTATTAATTGCATTACAAGGCGCTTCTTCACTCCCGTGTACACTTTTGTGGTGACCGAATGAATTTTACTTCGTTTCTGGCGCGTATTGTCGCTCGACAGTCGCAAAAGGGTTCTTTGCTTGGTTGCTTGAAGAAACTGCGAGAGTGTCGTGTTGCATACGCACTGGCAAGAATGCCAGCTATGTAAGGTGCCGAGTGGGAATGCAAATGTGCTACTCCAGCTCTGTGATGAGGAGTCAGCGCCCGACAAGGCTGCTTCAGTGGTGTGGACTGGCCTTACTTATCCTGCTTCGCATGTGCAAATAATTTGTGAAGGGCTCGAGCCGAAGGAAAGTACATCGTGCTCGGACTGCGCTTTCGTAAATGGGGCCAACAACGCATTGCCAGTACCACTTACAGCTGTTCCACGTGCTGTCATGCCACTCAAAGGAGAACAGGGCCCTGCCAGTGCAATTAGTGGGCTTGAAGGAAGTGGAGTCTCTTTTGATTGCCCTCGTGGAGGGGCAGGTAGGATAACCTGCTAACGGGACAGTTAGTTCATCGCTGGATCTCTTGGCTTAATTTCAAGTGTATCCTCAAGCTGTCCAGCAATGCAACATTGGAGTCGCTGGCTTCCGTTCGGATAAATTGCCACCGAGCCTTGTCGCTACAACAGAGTGAACGTATTTCGAACAGGTGGAGCGCGTGCCCATGCGTGTTGTGAGTCATTTGGTGATAGCAAGGTGTAACGGATACC